CCCCCTCTTCCCCACAGGTTCGATGTGGCCAGCATCATGTCCGTGACCCTCAGCTGCGACCACCGCGTGGTGGACGGAGCCGTGGGGGCCCAGTGGCTGGCAGAGTTCAAAAGATTCCTGGAGAAACCAGCCACCATGCTGCTATAACTTCTCAAAGGACTTTGGCGACCTGATCGCTTCATTCTAAAAGAAGCTATTTATATATCGGAGGGTTAGACTTTTAAAAAGAAAAAGAAAAAAAAGTTTCCTTCTTTTATTTTTTAAAGAAAAGTCTATTATAAACAGCGGCTGGTGACTTTTGAATGACCAGTGACCAGAGATTGCGAAAGGTTCTGTGGGTGGCCTTCCAAAGACAAATTACAGCCGCGCTTTTATCGTATTCGGTGGATGGATTGGCAAACTTTTCCCCAGTTGTCGAAAATAATCATGTGTTGTAATGCTTCCGATCACAACGGTGCAGGGTATCACGTCCTCTCCTCCCCAGCCCCCCAGCCCCCCAGCTAGCTGGCTCAGCCTTCATTTTCAATAAAACCAGGGATTTGAGATGAAATAAGACCAAAAAAAAAAAGTGAATCGTAGAGTTGGGACAATTTAAATCGGTGTTTCTCAACCTTGGCAACTTGAAGATGTCTGGACTTCCACTCCCAGAATTCCCCAGCCAGCATTCGCTGGCTGGGGGATTCTGGGAGTGGAAGTCCAGACATCTTCAAGTTGTCAAGGTTGAGAAACACCGATTTAAATTGTCAGCAGAAAAAAAGAAGGAACCCCTCCACTTGTGTTCTAAATACTACAGAAAAAATATATTAAAAAAGATGCTATCATCTGAAAATAGATGACATTCTAACTTTGCAGAATTCAACTGTAAGCCAGATGTTTTAGCAGCAGAGAATCCTTTTAGCAGACTGCAAGAGAAGATGAAAGTTTGAGTCAGAGCAGCTAAAACCGAACAGCCCTTTAAAAACCCTTCTGATGATTTTTGCCTTATGTGAGTTTCCGTAATTTGAGCTTGCATTGTTTCGCTTCCTTTATAGGTCAGTAAACGCAGTTTTACTCCAAACAGAAGTCATTTGTTAGGGGGTCAGCTAAAGATAGGCAACATATGGGCTCCTTACAGACTCCCCCATAGGTCCCTCCTCCCCCGTTTAATGGTCTAGACTGGGCAGATTGGGGCTGTTTTCCCACTGAAAGGAACATGAAGGTGCGGTTCCATCCTTTAAGCAAGGTTTGTGTGCAGGAATGTGAAAACAATCTTTCCTTCCTCCCACGTTGGAGGAGGTTTTGTGAAATATCCCATCCCACACAGGAAGCTGCTGCTCCCTCTGTAAAATGGGCTAGTCTTAAGCATGAAGCACTCCAGAGGTTCCCCAAATCAGCCCATATTGCAGCTGTACTCGGCCTCCGGCGATCTTGCATTTCAAATGGGACGTTGACCTCCGAATAGCTGAAATGAGAACTTTTGCTAACTGCATGAAAGAAGGGGGGGGAAAACCCCGATGCCTTGTGATCAAGTGGCCCAACCAAAGTGTGAATTACTTGTGCTTGAATTCCACTAAATCAGTAGAACAATTGGGCACAACCCAACTTCAGCTCCCTAGAAATCCAGAACCAGACTGCTAATCTGGAACAACTTTGCTATCTTGTCCGTCCCAGGCTCGAGAGAAGCAGAATTTCATAAGTCGTAAATTTGTAAACATCTTTGCTAGAAACGAGATTTCTTTAAAACGGGGCCCAGCCACGGTTTTAATTGTGCCCTAGGTAGATAAGAGTTTCTAATGGGAAATGCCTCTTTTGCTTGCCAAGGGAAAAAAGCTAATTTTAAAAGGTGGATCATGTAAATGGCTAATTGATGTGACCCGAGCAGCCGAGTAGACCATTAACCAATACACCCCATGTTAATCTGTACGTCACCACTTCATTCAATATTGTCTGTCAATTTGCGCTACTGAATCCACTACAAGTATATATACATGCAATTAAATATGTTTTTTTCTGAGAACCAATTTATTGAGTTTGGTTACTGTAATTCAACCGTTTGGTAAGAAAACATCTTAATTTGGTTACAGACTGGCATTAAAAGTTTGATGTTCTTTGGACTGTTACTCCTTTTCCTGAGAGTTTTTTTGTTTAGCTGTCTGTAGACATTGAATGTAAGTTATTTGGTGAGGAAAAATGGATAAATATTAAGCAAAGTGGGAAGGCCCTTGACATCTCAGGTCTGGAAGGCCACTGCTGTTAACTCTGGAGTTATTTTGAATGTTTTTAGTGATTCTTTTTTTAATCCAAGTGAACCAAAAGGTCATTTATAATCTTCAGCACTTGAATGAGCCTTTTGTTAAGGAATCACGTCCCTTCAGTTGTGTCCTCGGGGTATTGTACAAGACAATATGGCAGCCATAACCAGCTCAAAGTTATAGCCATTTTTATTTGAGCACAACTTCAAACATACGGTGGCAGATGCAATCTTGAATGTTTTGTCCATGCCTGCAGATGCCACTTCTTTAAGTATTCTTTGAAGGCGTATTTATCTTCAAATGTCAAAACAACACAGGAAGCTTAAAAGAACAAGCAGCTAGAACAGTGTTTTTCAACCTTGGTGACTTTTAAGTCCTGTGGACTTCAACTCCCAGAATTCTGGGAATCGAAGTCCACAGGACTTAAAAGTCGCCAAGGAAACACGGAGCTAGAGAAATAAATTGGCTTTGGTTCGTAAGTGTTCCACCCCCTACAGTGTTTCCCCTGCCTCTCCAAGAAAATAAGCTGAGCTTTTAAGACTACAGGAAGCTCTCAGAACTGTTAAAAAATAATTTAAACCCAGCAATGATTGAAAACAATAGGTTCCCCCCACACACACTTTTATTGTTTTGGTTAATGGGGGAAACAAGATACAGAGTCCATTTATTTGTTAATCCTGTACAGTTAAACTGCAGGAGAAAACTGCCTTCAGAACAACCTTCAAATGTCAAAAGCATGTATTTAGGGGTGCATTTTATCCTGGGTTTTTGCATCCCCAAAAGGCAGGAAGAATTTTAGCCTTCAAACTCAAGAGAAATAAAACAGGCATGTAACCAATACACTTAATGTTAACTTGTGCAAAAGGCCGAATGGGAAGTGCTGGAAGAGGAAGAGAATCAAGAGAAGAAGGGGACCGTGTGGGACCATCTCCACACCGTGTCAGCTAGGGTCATTTCCCCTGGCACACAGGCATTCTGACGATCAAGACTCCTCCCTTCTTATTAAAAATTGCTGATGTTGCTTCTTCGTCCACAGGCACCGGGAGGTCCACCCGCAGTCTGTACTTTAGAAGGCACTCGACCAAGACGTCATCCTGAAGAGAAGATGCAGGGAGGCATGTGAGACTCACGTGGGTCTGGCTGGGCCAAAGCAGGGGAGAAGGCTGGGAATAATATATGGCGATTTATAGGTGCCTCACCTTAGAGACGCTCAAATTACACTCGGACACATTGCAAACACCCGGCAGTTCGATTTTCAGCTCGATTTCTCGGGGTTTCTCATCTGCGTCCTTCTTGGTGGTCATTTTGTAGGCAGGTTTGGGCGTCTCTGGCTTGTCTGTACTGGAAATCTCTTCGATTAGGCGCTTTTTGGGAGCTGTGGGCTTCTCTGCTGCTGGCAGAATAAGGTCACCGCTGTCTTCGGCCGTGAGGCTTCTCAGCTGGCTGAGGGTCACTTCTTGGCAAGAGGATTTTCAGACAGAAGAGTTTAGACAAGTAGCAATGGCACTCAAGACTTATAAACCACTTCACAGTGCTCTACAGCCCCCTCTAAACAGGAGTCAGCCGATTGCCCCCAACAATCTGGGTCCTCATTTTACCGGCCTCTGAAGGATGGAAGGCTGAGTCAACCTTGAGCTGGTCAGAATCGAACTCTAGGCAGTGGGCAGAATTCGCCTGCAGCACTGCACTCCAACCACTGGAACAACAGGGCTCCTGTCTCTTCTCCCATTTCCATGGTTGGCAGCGATGTAGTTACATTCCACTAAAATTGTTAACTGATGAAAGAAATCTTAGCTGCTACAATTGTGCACTTGATCGTATATGGGAATGCAACACACTTCTATATGGTGTACATGCACACTTTCCAACGCATGTCTAGAGAAAAACCATTCCCATATATTTCAAATAAAGTGGACAGCTCTTCAGATAACATTTGCCAAGTACAATGTTTTATAGATGTTTGTAGTATTATTCACATGTTTATATCACCCCCCTCATAAGGGGACAACTAGAAATCAATTAAGTAGAGAAAAATGTTTCCCAATATTAACAATCGTCAGGCAGCAAATGCCCGTTTAAGAAGGATGTTTTTCAGTGCCTTATGAAAAGCTGGTGCAAAATACCTCCAGGAAGCCGCATATTTCTATAGTGGGGGGACCAGGTCCCTCTTTTCAGGAGGATACAATCCTCAGAAGGTTCCCTTTAAATACATAAGATGTGTAGAATAAGCCCCCTCCCCTTGGAGTGGCACCTTGAAAATTACCTTTATTGGGGTTCCTCTGGGGCGCAGCCAATGGGGGCTGTTCTCTTCTCAGGCTGGCTCTCATCCTTTCAAGGCTTCCCTTCAACTTAAATTTGGCCACGCTCCAGGAATGGGACAAAGTGACACTGAAATGCTCCTCGACGTACTTGAGTGACATGCGAATCAACTGCTCTTTCTCCGGTGGGTTATCCTCGACTCGCTCAAGAACGGATGGGTTGAATGCCATGTCAAGGATGCTGCAGATCTCTACGAGAAAAGCAAACACGGTTTATTCTCTCCTCAAATGTATCGTGGCCTGAGTTCGCGACCAGGTGAATCATGTAAGTTTCGTTCCTGACGTCTTGCTGCTGTCCATGCCCAATATCTCTCTCGAAGGGACAAAGCAATATAAACACCCCAAGTCACCTTGTAGAAGTCACTGCAGTAGGTTCCGGTTAGCAGAGGTCTTGCAATAGAGATTACCTGACTTATCTGATAGAGTCTCCATTTTGCCAGCGCTCAACAGAACTGGCTCCGAGGGTGACTTGGGAGCAGGGATCCTACTCCAACGGCACAGATTTATGAAGAGACGGGTTTTGCTAGGTTCCTATGAGAAAAGCACAAAACAAAATAACACCCCAAACATTACGCGATTTATTAAAACAGGCACGTTCATATAATTAACAATCGGATATTCACTTCAAGCAATGTCCCTGCATAAAAGAATTTTTTTATTTTCCATTTTCATAGCATATAATCACATGTATACTATTACATAGTCAATATCATGTTGTATTATTAAGT